ATGTATATTGACAAATACTTTTTTTTTTGACAGTTTAAGACTAGGTATGCAGGAGGACTTAGAGGAAATGAGACGTGAAGAAGAAGAAATGAAGCGTCGAAAGGCCAAGAAGCTGAAGAAGCGTTAGCTGCTGCTTGTATTTATTTTTGTGAAATTCTGGAGACTCTCTGTTGCAAGGAGGTCCTGCCTTCAGAATGAAGAATCCCCTTTATGATTTTAGATTTATACTTGGGTACTCAAGGAGAAGGGATGCATACTGTCATTTGCAGGCTGTCATTGGAGCATAAAGTATTTTCAAATACTTTCCAGGGTTAGATCTGTAATGCAGATGATAGAATGCCCAGTTGAGTGCTCTTAGGAAGTTAACTGTTCACAGGTGCCAGCCTTGATCCTGATGAGCTATGCACTCTAAGGTGGGGCCACTCACCAGCCAGCCAATCTTAACATTGTTCCTTTGCTACTTCGAAAAGGAAACAAAAAGGATTGCCTCGTGACTTCATAATTCTGCTGATGTGTGAGTAGGGCACTGCCTGGCTCCCAATTAACTTTGTCTTTCAATGAGGAACCTGGCCCCTTCCATGAATGTTGCCAGCAATAAAGTGACCTGTCCTAATCTATATGTTTGGATTGAGAACTTGAAAATGTAGAGTAGGCTTTATAATTATCATATGGATATCATCTCTGTGACTTTGAAGTAAAAAGTAGAATAAATTATATTGTATTCTGCATTATTTGTGGATTGGATGCTGAGCATTCTTACTCACTAATTTAGGTGATAAGGCAATTAAAAATTTTTTTTCAAGTTAAAATACGTTATGCCATTTAGTTTAAAAATATATGTTTCCAAGTTTTCATTTCAGATTTACTGTTATATTGGCTTTAGTATGAAATAGACAAGGTCACTGTGCTGATTGATTTTTATCTACAAAATTCATTTTTATATTGAAGAAAAATGCTTATTTTATTCAAACATTAGATTTGGAAGAGTAATAGTTTAAAAACTGAGGAAGTGACATGTGAGACTCCCCTTTCCTCTCTTCCTTCATTATAAAAATATTTTGGAAAAAGGTACCCCTGTACCTCTTGATATAATGACTGCATTTTATCTTAAATTCTTTAGCAATTAATGGCAAAAACCAAAAACTAAATTCATGTGTATCAAGAGCACCACCTTCTCTTTTGCCCATATTGCACTTTTATTTTAAACTATGCACTGTGAAGAGATATTTTTCCCAGGTTGGAAAGGATGTTCCCTGTTACTAGTGTTTCACTGGGCTGTGGAACTTTCTTCATTCTCACTTTTTTCAAGTCATATTTATAGACTTGATATCTCTTAAGCCTCAAATCCTGGCAATTCCAATCAGGCTGATGTAGATTCTGGCTGGAGAGAAGCCAAGTCTCAAGGAAAGTCAACAACGGAAAATGAGATACGATGCTAGCGAGTATTTGTCCTAGGTTCTAAATGTGGAGGGTTGGGGGCAGTGGGACATAAGCTTGTAAAACAGTTCAGGTTGCTTTCATGTATTCCTTTTTATCCATAAAGCTTTCTTTATTCTAGTTTGGTAGTAGAGATGACTGTTGTTAGCCTCCCTTAATGGGACAGCCATGTGACCCAGGCCCTTAAGACTCTCATTTTGAATTGAGTTTCAAATTTCAAAAGTTTAAGGATTTAACTTTGAAGCTGAATCCTGTGAAAGATGTATTCATCACTAGGAATAACACCCTAACATCCACACAGAACTGTTACACTGGCAGAAAATCCTATCCACTGCCTCTCACCCATTTCAAATACCTTCAGTGAAATTGACTTAAAGGTAGTGTGCTGTTCCATGTAATGAAACAGGTTTGGAACATTTCCTTTGCTGTCACTCTTGTGCTTCCCCCCTGACCCCCTTCAAAAGTTTTTTTCTTGGATGTATTTTTTCAATATGCAGACTTTGAAAATCTATTACAATCAAGTGCTTATCATAGCCAAAAGATTTCTCGTGGCTTAAAGTTTACTAGCACTTTACTCAATATGCAGTTATTTGTACTTAAAGGCCCCACTGTGCTCGATAATAAAAGTTCCAGACCTTGAAAAGTCAGGTTGTGTCCTTATGTGTGTATCACTTTTGAATGCATTTCTTCTACAGATGTTATTCTTCTTCAGCATCAGCATTATAAAAAAGGGCACTTCTGTAGCTCAGTTAAAAAGAAAGTCCTGAGAAAGTCTTTTAAATTAGTCTTGGCCTTGTTTCCAAATCCTGTCTTCCATTTTGTTCTGCAGTTCCTGACCACTCTTCCGAAAAGCCCACAAATCTTTGAAGAAACTGGAATAAGCTGTTATTTTATCAAGGTTTACAAATTAAGTGCTTGGTTTTTAACGTATCCTCTACCATTTTGGTTTTCAGATTTTTATTAATTCAATATCTGAAGATGTGCCTTTTATTGGGTAATGTTAATTCACGAATGTAGTAATGTTATTTCACGATTGTAATGTTACATGATCATGGTTGTGGCATTCTCTACAGATGATGTGAAAGGAAAGTAGTTTTCATAAAACTCCTATGGCTCTGATTGCACAGTCCCGCTTGCTTTTGATGTTGCTATGTCAAAGCAAGGGGCACTTTCTTTTCAAGCTACTTTCAGAACTTGTCTTTGTATTTTCTCTACACTGTAAATGCAGTTATGTCCCTTGGAGGCCAGGGTACCACATGTCACAGACAGCCTTACATGTGTGCCAGGAGAGGGTTCAAAGACTGTTAACAAAAAAGAAAGTATATGGGAACTCGAAATTTCATTTTTTTACTGTTACCCCAAGATTCTCTCCAAGAAATTACTGTTTTGTATTTTGTAACTTAAAAGCAGCTATTAGTACATTTCTGAGATATAGCACGAGACCAAAACATGTTTGGAAAGAGAATAAATATATGAAGAGAGACTGGTTGGTTTATTTTCAATGTGCTGAATATATTAGACTACTATTTATTTTGTGAGTGGATATGATAAAATAAATATTCAGGTGTTCAGTGTATGCTTAAGAGTGAGATATAGATTTCTTTGGAGTTATTAAATCCATCATGTCTTTTACATAATGGACAAATCAAGTTTTAAAAAAGAAAACATTTACCTAGCTTAGCTTGTTTTCTGGTGCTGTTGACCTGCAAGAGAATCTACTTTTGCATATACAGGTGAAAGTTTTGCAATTTATGTATAAAAGAAATTGTAGGTATTAAAAATATTTTATTGATATTTTCACTGGTTTGCCTTTATTTACCAAAACTCAGATATTCCTTCTCCCATCGCCCTGAACATTTTCCCAGCTAGAACCCCCAATAGGCTCATCAGACTTAAGATGGGATTTGCCTCCTTACACACACACAACTGTTCATTATCCCTGACACATTCGTGTCCGCTCACAGCTGACACCATTCCCCACCCCCACCAGCTTAAGAGCTGGTCCACTACCAGATACCCAGGTTAGGAGAATTGTTTGGAGGTATACTCAGAAAACTGGAGGGAAGAAGAACTGGGTATATAGTTCTTGTCAAGAAAATGAACAGGTTCTGATCCCTTCTAATAGAAAGAGCCTGAAATAACTTGAGATGAGTCCTTTGCGATATGTAGGAGGCAAATGGGCACAGCTGTGCAGCCAGAGAATGCAGGCACTTAACTGGATGAGATGCAGAGTCTTGGCCACATAAGAGGTATACTATCCTAGCGTCAGGATTACACAGTGTTGCTTATGGCTTTTGAGTTCTATTTTCTTAACATAAAACATAAGGGCAATCCATTCAGTGCCCAGGGCCACTTAAAGAGAGTTTAGCAAACATGAACCAAATAGTCATCAACAAAATGTTACCTGCATAACCTGCAAAAACCAAAACTTTGGTGGTAACATTGCCCTTTTGAACAATGAAACGATCAGTCACCCCATGTAGCCACAGGATGGGAAAGTTCCATACAGTTTGCTTCAAAAGTACTTGTGGGGCGCCTGGGTGGCTCAGTGGGTTAAGCCTCTGCCTTCAGCTCAGGTCATGATCTCAGGGTCCTGGGATCCTGCTTCCTCCTCTCTCTCTGCCTGCCTCTCTGCCTACTTGTGATCACTCTCTCTCTGTCAAATAAATAAAATCTTAAAAAAAAAAAAAAAAGTACTTGCTCTCAGGTTCTTCCCCCGCCCCACCCCCCCAACTCCCCTCAAGGTCAGAAAATCCCGAACCACCTCTAGAGGGCTTACAAAGAATTAGGGCTCAAGCGCCCAGAATAATAACATGGGTCTTATACTTAGGTTTCCATCCTTGGTCTCAAACTCAAACTGCATCCTACCGAGGACTGAGCAGTTAGTTGGCTTTTGTTCTATGCGTTTCTGTTTTGTTCCTATGTGTTTCTATTAGCGGCAATCACTGCTCAAAGAATCATCAGGCACCTTCCTGGCTATTCAGGTGAGGGAGGCATTTGAGCCAAGAGACAGCCAAGATCTTGGATATTCCGGGCTCTTGTTTGGGTCTTTTCCTTGACACATAAAAACCAAGAAGAGGGTCTGGATCTTAATCTTGACTCTGCAATCCAGAGCTGTGAGGCTGGTAAGATCCTTGAACCTCTCAACTTCATTTTTGCCATTTTGTTAAATGAGGCCAGGGGCCAACCCAGGTTATTGTGAGGGTAAAAATGTATAATTTAGCACCCGATATTAAAATGCAGTCCTTTCCCCATACAGTGTAAGCCTTAAGTTCTTGATAATAGCTGTGAAAAGGCCACAGAGACGTATCCCCAAAGGATAGGCTTGACGTTACCCCAACAGCCTTTTCTGTAATGTTTTTTTCAACCCTGAACCTGGACGCAGGAGAAAGCCTATACTTGGGAACTGGGTCTAAGGAGCTTTGGAGAATTTCTATCCTTAAGGATACAGAAGAGGGGGCAAATTGAACGAGGTATCTTAGTCTTACTGCCAGTCTTAAAACACAAGGGACCCAATCAGATTTCATCTAACTACCTCCCCAGCCTGCATCCCCCTGTTTCGAGCTAACAGAATACCAAGTCTTCATCTTAAAAAGTACGGTAACTTTTTACATAAAATGTGACAAAATAATGTGCAATTACTTTATGCAAAACCAACAACAGGAGCTGTATAGCCGGCCAGGTGAGCTTCACAGCTGCATTACTTCGCCAGGATCATCTTTGCTTATTTCCACCGGGGTCTGGGGGGAGAAAAGTATGTCAGGTAAGCCTTACCTAGTGTCTGCTGGAGTGTGGGCATGAGGCAGTTGCCCTCCTTGCCGAGGACAGGCACAAGTAGTTTTGTCCAGTTCTGTGTCTTAATGCCTTTGATCCCAGTTGCCAGAGGGACATAGTCACAGAGGAGGAGGCCAAAAAGGGACAAATATCCAAGGTCTACCAGGAAGAGAGAAGATCTCTAGCACCAGAACCACTTTATCGACCACCGTTTACTCGAGGAGAAAGAGGGAGGTCTGGGTTGCTGGTGGGAGCTGATTTAAGAAATGCTACTGAAGCCAGAGCGCACAAAATGGCCCCCTGAGCACAAGACGAGGTGACCTATGTCGGACAGCCGTGACTCTGGGCCTGAGATGTCTTTACCTCTATACCTCCAGGTTCTTTGAAACTGACGAATCTAAGACTAAAGATTCTTAAGAAAATATGTATAAAAGACATGAAAGAGAGGGAACTTTCAGTGAACGATAATAGAAGTACATAAGCTACAAGGACTTTCTTAATAAAGAAAAGACATAAAAAAAAAAAAAAAGAAGACTCTTTGTTTCTAAAGTTACTAGAGTTGGATCTTGATGCTTAGCTCCTTGATCTGGGGGAATACATTTCAAAGTAGAAATAGAGAACAAAGTTGAAAGCACACTTACCCCTCCTGGGGGATACTTATATCCCTTCCACATGGTTCCTGCAATGAGAACCAACCATAAGGCAACAATCATCGTGGAATTTCTTGCTCAGCTGGCGGTGTGTGCTGGGGAAAATGAGTGGTTCTGAAAGGTGTTCAGTTCCTTGAGTCCTGGGAACTGGGCTGTCTTCATTCAAGACCAGATGGTGGATAGCCCAGCATGATAGCTCCTGGCTGGAGAGTTTTGTGGTCTAGTCTGAATTGCAGTGGCTTGTCATACCCATTTTGGGGGCCAGAGCTCAGACACCCAATTGTGACATCAGCTCCTGTGACCTTGAGGGGGGACCAGTCAGACTAAGCAGCTATGGGACAGTTGGCCAGGGTGCCTGGCATGTTGGGGCCAAAGAACCCTTAATAAAGGGCGTTGTTCACTGGTGACCCTACATGGTTAGGATCTAACTGGCATCACATCTTTATTAACTCCTCTCCCGTCAAAGTATTAACTACTGGTTTTATGCAATCAGATGCAAAAAAGCATTGCTATGCAAACAAAACAAAACAAAACAAGACAAAATACCCTGGATTAATTGGGAGGATTGTCTAGGCATGCTGTGAGCAATTTACTTTATATACTATTGCTAGGCTACTTGAAAGAGAAAAATCTTGCATTTTGTGAAACACCAGAGGTAAACCCTCATTATGCAGGGTATGCCCCCTCTCAGTCTCGCTGGAAAGAGAAGGGAAGGAAGATGGGCTGTTATGCTCAATTCACAGCAGGAGAAAGCTGAGGAGCAGAACAGTTTCGGGGGTTTGGTCAGGATCAGGCAGCTCAGCTAAGCTGGTGCCCAGTGCGCCCATCCACATCCCCATCCCCTGAGGTCTGAACTGAGTTGGGTCAATATTCACATAGACATTCTGAGGCAGGTGGAGGAAGAAAATAAGAACCCTCATGCCCTGTTCCTAGTACCCCTGGGGTTGGGACTTGATGCCCTGTCGTCTAGAGTAGCTTCCCAGAAAACCTGCTCCTGTAACGGTTTATTACTAAGACTTTAAGTTTCTTTAACAGTGGGAACATCTTTGAAAGAACAGGTCTGAATGAAAGGAAGTGGGATGTGAGAACCCCAAGAGGTGCTTGCTAAAAGGATACTGTATTCACGTTTCCTAGAGGCGGGCTGGTCCAGTGGAATGAGTCCAAGAGGATATTAAGTCCTATGCTTGCATCCCAGCTTCACAAGCAAGTTGGTCTGTGGCCTTGGGTAAATAGCTTGAGGATGTTGTCTCAAGTCAATCTTTGCTGACCAGTTCATTATTTTGCTCATCTGTTAAGTTAGCACTTAGTAAATACTTTGCATCAAATGCTTGACATGATTTCCCAAATGCAATCCTCACAAAAGTAGTAAGATACTGAGCTATTGCCATTGGGCAGGTGAAGAAAGTGAGGGTTAGAGAGAATTCAACCTTCCCAAGGTCATACAGCTAGTGAGGAGCAATGTTAGGGGTTGAACTCATTCACCATAACTCAAGTCTTGGGAGCTGCCAAAAAGAGGCACTGAAAATACTCATCCAACTTCTTACAGTTTGTGAGAAAAGATATTAATAGACAGGAACAGTCTTTGAAAAGAATACTTAGGAGATGTGCTGAACCAATCTTGGAACCTTGGCCTGCTGCCCAAAGCAGGGCTTGCTGTCTTCTTTCCCTACCGCATACCTCAAACCACCTCCCCTTTGCCAGCTGATATGTTTCCAGGGGGACATAAACTCTCCACTGAGATTTCAGAGCGTTGCGGCATTCTCTGGAAAGGGAGAAGTTGAGTCCAGCAGACCTGACCACTCACTCAGAGCTGCTGGTCTTCATCCAAGGTCTGGCTCCTCAGTCGTGTCTTGTCCTCCTGAACAGACCACTTCTCTTTCCACTTCAGAGTTGGAGGCTGAGTCAGAAAGAAATGTAAAGGCAGAAGTGGTTCTACTTGTTGGCCTAGTAGGTAACTGCCTCTGTATGACGCAAGGGCCGTTGGGAGGTCCCCCCAATGCTCACATTCCCTTTCCTACCAGTGACCGCTGATCTGCTTGGCCTCAAACCCTGTCTCCAGCAGACCCCTTATAAATTCCACAATGCTTTGAGATAAGTGCTATTATGTACCCAAGAGGCAGGTGGAACTTAAAGATATCCCAAGGGGATGAAAAGTAGCCTGGGAAACTAACTCTGTTCCATTGCATCCTGACTTCTAATTAGTGGTGAGACCTCAACTATCCTTCCCCTTTGGTCAGAAATCCCAGCTGGGAGGGGGAGCCAGAGCCAGGACTGCCCACTACCAGGGGTTCACGGGCAGGGTCATTACTTACCATGAACTCCGGAAATGTGCCCATGTAACATGCAAGTCCAACAAAAAGCATCCAGCCAAGTACAATCATGATAACAAGTAAAACAATGTCTAAGACACAACTGCGCAGTTAAAGACTATTCACCAAGGTTTTGGCAAAGGAGTGTGCTCATGAAACCCTCAGTTGGTAGAGAACTTGCATGTCAGTTCCAGTCCTTGGCTCCAAAGGATCCACACGGCCCTACTGGAGAAGTTAGGAGTCTAGTAGTGCTTTGTGACATCATTGGTCACATGGCCCAGGCTCACAACAGGTCAGAGAGACTGCCCCCAGACCAGTAGCTGCATGGCAAACTAAGCTTTTTATATGCATTCTCTCATAGCAACAATATGAAGTAGGTGCTATTATCAAGCCCATTTACTAAGAAGACTGAAGCGTAGAGAGCCTAAGTGACTTGCACCAGGTCACAAGGCTGGTGCTCCAGACCAGGGCCAGGACTCAGGGCCCAGCTACCTGTTAGGAAGCTGGGCTCCCTAGACTAAGACAGGGCAGACAGTGATTGGGAAGGGTGTGAATGGAATAAACTGAATTCTAGGGAAAGTGAGACATCTCTTATTTCTGTCCCTGCAACTCTCTCATCATCCCAAGGGCTCTGTCACCATCATTTTATACCATTCTTCAATATCTTTGGTCAGTAACTCTCTGCTGGTTCTCCTCACTTGGCCTTCAAGAAGCCATAAGTAAGTCCTTTCCTCGCAGAAACCTCCAACTCATGCTGTGGCTCCCTTCCTAACCTGTTTCCTAATTTCCTTTTATGACCACAAACTTCTTAAACAAGTGGTCCACACTCAAAGCTTTTCTTCCCAATCTCTACCTTTTTTCTGTATATCACATTCCAACTTCTGGTCCCACACCACTACTTAGATGCTCTCAGAGGTTACCAAAGACCTCCTTTTTGTCAAGTCTAATGACCTCATCTTCATCCCTTTGACCTCCGTGCACTGTCACAATGGACCCCTCTCTCCACCAGAATTCTTTCTACAGACACACATCCCTGTCTTATTTTGATATGCCCTTTATTTGCTTTACATTTTTGAATGATGAAAATAATAGGTGCTCATGGTAAAACATGAAACCACCTGCAGACATATAAGAAAAATCTAACAATCTCCCCTCTTTTCCCTCTCAATTCCCACCCTCATGATGTACCCAAGCCTGGTTTGTACCCTTCTGCCAAAGGATCCTCCATGAACTTGCAAACATCAGTACACATATGGAGGGATATAGAGGATTTCTTTCCAGCGTTGCTTTACCAAAGGTGATCAGATTACTTATGCTACTAAGAACCTTGCTTTTCTTCTGTTAACAACAATACCTCACGGACATCCTCCTGGGTCAATGGTTAAAAAAATTTAAACACATTCCTTTTTTTAATAAGAAGTTTTATTGAGGTATAAATCACATATGATAAAATCCACTCCCTTTTAGCGTGCAGTTGATGAGTTTTGAAAAATGTGTCAATCTTGTAACTACCACCACCATCAGGAGAGAAGAAATCTCAATTATCTCAACAAGTTCCCTGTGCCCCGTTGCAGTAAGTCTCCTCCCTTGGACTCCTTGTCCCCTGGAAACCATTTATCTGCTTTTGCATTTTCCAGAACTTCACATAAAGAGAGTGACAGGCTCATTCACTGGCTTCTTTCGCTTAACATAAAGCTTTCAAGGTTCATCCACGTTGTCTAATAGCTTGTCCTGTTTTTTGGATGAACACATGGTCTACTGCATCGACAGCACAGTTTATCAATTTACCTTTCAGAGAACATTTGGGTTGTTTCCAATTTGGGTTATTATGAGCAGAGTTTGGATTATTATAAATCTGTGGGTACAGTTTCTTGTGTGAACATAAGTTTTAGTTTCTCTAGGGTAAATCCCAGCAGGGGTATCTGAATCATATGGTAAGTGCCTGTTAAAAAAACCTTTTATCACTATTCTCAGCAATTTTACTTTGCTGTGACTATGTAACTTTCTGCATGTTTCTTCTATTTGGGGTTCAGTAAGCATCTTCGAACTGGGGTTTATGGTCTTCCTCAAATTGGGAAAATACTTGGCTAATATTTCTTCAAATATTTTTCTGCCTCCCAGTTCCCCTCTGTGACCTCCGTTTACGTGCGAGGCCAGTAACCAATGTGAATGTGTCCCAAAGCTTGCTGGTGGTTCTCTTCATTCCTGAGTCTTTTGATTCTCTTTGTTTCATTTTGGATAGTTTCCATTGTTTTCTTTTTCCAAGTACACTCGTCTTTCCCCTACAGTGTCTAATCTTCTGTGAATCCCATACAGTGCATTTTTCATTTGATGTTTTATTTCTCATCTCTTCAAGCTCAATTTGTCTTTTAAAAAATTCTTTCATTTTTTTTTTTTCCACGTCAGGTTCATGCTTCCCTTTGTATCCTTGAGCATTTTTGTAGGATTGATGGTAAACATTTTAAGGACTCCATCTGCAAATCTACCATCTCTGTCATTTCTGGAGATGTTTGATGGTTGATTTTTTTCTTTTTGTTATGGGTGATATTTCCCTACTTCTTTGAATGCCTGGTAAGTTTTGGTTCAATGTTCACATGGTGAATTTTACAAGGCTGTCTACTGGACTTGGTTATATTCCTTTCAGTAGTGTGGGTTTTTTTGTTTGTTTGTTTGTTTCGTTTTTTTTCAAGGATGTTTGGATCAGTTTGATTCTTTCGAGGCTTGTTTTAATATTTGTTAAGTGAGCAAAGAGCAGCTTTTACTCTGATGATAATTATCCCCATTACTGAGCTATGACCCTTCTCATGTCCACTGGGCACTCTCTCTGATGCCTATTGTGTTCAGCCTTTCAAATCTGTGGAATTTTCCACAACTCCTAGCCCTTTTGGGAGCTCCAGGAAGTGTTTGGCCTGCTGTTTGTGGGTGACTCTTATCCTGGCCGAACTCAGCCAAACACTCACAAGGACCCCTACTGAGATCTCCAGAGTTCTCTCTCTGTAGAATCTTCTTTGCCAGGACCCCATCCTGCAGTTTCCTGCCACTCTGGCCTCCTTTGTACTCTGCTCTTTCTTTACAACCTAGCAAGAGTAATCTTGGTTTGGGGAACCCCACTGTGCGGCAGTCTGAAAATCACTTCCACGCACTAGGCTGGGGCAATTGCAAGGCTCATCTCCTCTATTTACTGTCTCTCAAAGTTCACAGGCCTGTGCTTGCTGCTTCTTGTGCAAGATCTGAAAATAATTATTTCATATATTTCGTGCAATCTTCTCTTTGTTTATGGAGAGAAGGCAACTCTGTAGCAGTTGATCCTTCTAGGTAGATGCAGGAATCCAATTTATTCTTTTTTTAATTTCTGAATAATAGTCCACATTTATTTCCTCTTTCTCCTAACGATGAATCTATCAGTCAAGAGATGGAAACCACACAGTAATTTCAACAGAGAAAGTTTAATAAAGAGAATTATTAACTAGGAACAAGAGATTAACTAAGGAAAAGGTAGAAAGCTCTACCTATACAGACATAGCATATATAGGGAGCAGCCACCACCCCTAAGGCTGAGGCAATGCACCCAAGGGAGAAACATACTTGTAAGAGTGCCCCCCCGCCGGGGCACCTGGGTGGCTCAGTGGGTTAAAGCCTCTGCCTTCGGCTCAGGTCATGATCTCAGGGTCCTGGGATCGAGCCCCGCATCAGGCTCTCTGCTTAGCAGGGAGGCTGCTTCCTCCTCTCTCTCTCTGCCTGCCTCTCTACTTGTGATCTCTGTATGTCAAATAAATTAAAAAAAAAAAAAAAAGAGTGCCCCCTGCCCCTCAGAGCTGAGATCCAAAACTTGGTGAAAAAGTGGTGGCCATCCCCGACTGGATGATAGAGAAATTCAATCAGCTGCAGGCCAGACCTCACAATGAGAGAATCACTAGATGCTGGTGAAATCTGACAGGAAGCCTCTTCTGGGAGGCTCATTGATCATTGCTGAGAATCTGCCAACAGAATATACCAGGATACTGGTGGTAGAACTCAAGCGGTTCTCTACGGGGTGCTGGTGGTAGAACTCAAGACAAGCTGTTCAGTGGTAGGGATGCCATTGAAACTCAATGGAAAACAGTCCATAGAGAGGCCACGGGAAGTCAACATGGGTAAGGACCACTGGATAGCCCCCACGTGCCAGCCACACAGCAGAACACAGAGAAACAAAGGCATCCTGGAACCAGGAAGAGAAGTTTCTTCCTCCTTTAGTAGCTCCCCAAGGCACTCCATTGATAAAACTTATCATCCCCACGAGCAAGGAAAAAGGGTTTTACAAGGTTCAGGTTCATTACAGCAGAGCAAGCAGTGAATGGTGGATTCGGAGCTGAAGGACAGTGAGTTCATAAACAGCACAATGTGCATTTAGGTTTTCTCCCACTTTTTCCACCATACATAATGTTGCAATTGTTACACAACATTTCTTAGACAATTTCTTCTGAGTAGTGCCAAGTTTTTACTTGTTAACCAGGAAAGCAGCAAGATGACAGAGTATGCCAGTTCCGATACAGCATAACAATGGAGAGGCTTTATAAAATCCTTCCAAAAAAGGAACTTAAGAGAAGAAAAGAAAGATTGTAATTTCATTTCGTAAGGACAAAGGATATCTTTCCAAGGACAAAGGATGCCTGTGGTAGGACTGCCTGGGATGCAGCATACACTGTTGGTCAATGAACAGTAACACAGGCTCCATACATCTAAGTGAAGGATACTGGGTTCTGATGCACATGTTTTTAAAATTTTCATGCGGTCTCATTTACTTTTTTTTTTTCATTGCCTATGCCTTGGTGTCATATCCAAGAAATCACTGCCAAGTCCGATGTCATGACGTTTTTTCCTATGTTTCCTTCTAAAAGTTATATTGTTTTAGTTCTTACATTGAGGTCTCTGATCTATTTTAATTTTTATATATGGTGTTAGGTAAGAGTCTAATTCATCCTTGCATATGGATATCCAGTCTTCCCAGCACCATCTGTTGAAAAGACTGGCTTTCCCCATTGAATGGTCTTGGCACTCTTGTCAAAAACCATTTGACCATGTATGCAAGGATTTATTTCTGGGCTATCTATTCTATTCCATTGGTAAGGTACTTAAAGATGTCAAAATCATAGAGACAGAAAATAGAATTCTGAGTTGCCAGGGGCTGGGAAGAGGGAAGAGTAGGAAAATATTATTTAATAGATATAGGGTTTCAGTTTTAGAAGAGGAAAATCATTATTGAGATGGGTGGTAGAGATGGCTGGGCAACATTACGAATATATCTAATACCAGTGAACTGTATACTTAAAAATGGTTAAGATGGTAAATTGTACGTTATGTGTGGTTTACCACAATGAAAAAATTGAGGGGAAAGAGAAGTAAAAGATAAGGATACATGGGTCTGATATTTGGAATATCAGGATTTCATCCCTGAACAATGTCTGATTGGACCAATAACTATGAAAGCAAAGAGTGTAAACAGAGATCAGAAGCAGAACACCAAGAAAAAAAATCTAA